AAAAAACTCAGCCAGACAAGAGAAACTCAAATATTTGTTTCAGTGGGTGAGACACCGACAGACATATGTCCGCCTGTCTAGCCTTTCACAACTTTGCAGTGTCAAAGTGATCTCAGGATTGTTGTTTTTGTGGTTTACACAATCTGAAGAGATTATCTGTCCAAGCTTCTGCACTGTCCCCTGATATAAAAACAATTTCTACCCAACCTCAACTGTCCACACCGACCTTGTTAAAACCAGGGGATCCATTCCCTCTAGTAAAAAAAAAAAAGATCAGAAGATCAAAAATGAAGGTTTGAGCTCTTTCTTCATTGGTATCATTTTTCCAAAAAGTATAAAAAATAGTTTGTTTTAATACATTTCATCCTATTCAGTATTTTTTGTAATCTTTTTTTTAATCTTTTAACTGTGAAGTTTTTTGGATTGTGCCCTCTTTTTTAAGCCTTGTGCTCATTTTTGTCCTCCTTCTGAGAGTCGTGCCTGTGGTCAGCCTGTACAGGTGCTGCTGGTGTTTACTCCGAGTAAACAAATGATTCAGCAGCATGAGGTATTGGGAAGCTGTTGCACAAAAATGTTTTCAGGTTCAGTGTGAAACCTCCAATAGGCACATGCAATAATACAAGAATCAAAGAGTTTATTGTCGTACCATGGTAAAAAACAAGTTTCTTTGTGCAATGAAATTCTTCCTTTTCTGTCCACACTGATGCCGGGTTTTATGAAATAGAGAAAGAATGGAGTAAAGGAATGAAAATAAGTAAAAAAATACAATAAATACAATAAGAAATGATGCAGCGAGAAAGATATCACTCCAATGAGCACTGATAATAATAATACTGTTTATGTTCATTTCTAATTTGGAAAATATTCATATTTAATTAAATATAATTTAACAAAACATCATAAACATGGAGTTGTTTTTTTTTTTACATTCAAAATTCATCAAGCGGGCCAGATTGAGCCCACTAATGAACCTGTTTTGGCCCACGGGCCTTATGTTTGACACCCCTGCTATATATCAGGGGTCCCCACACTTTTCCACGCCAAGGCCACCCAAACAGCATTAGCTTCTGGCCACGGGACACCCTCTGCAAATCCACAGACTATGTGAAAAACAAACAAACATCCATCCACCATCATGCAGAGTGTGTTCAGGTCACCATCTATAACTTGAGAATCAAATGAACAAATAGTTATATCAAAAAATGAATGATAATTTCTTTTTTTGTTTTGATATTATCATCCCTCCAGTTTTCTGGCAGCCCACATTTGTCGGTATTATAGGTATGTTACATTGTTGCAATGAATTAGTTAAAATAATAATAAATAAGAGAAGACTATTTTATTTTGTCAATGTTGGGGGAATTTGTCCCACATAAATCCTGTTTTTTGTCAATGTTGAGGGAATTTGTCCCACATAAATCCTGTTTGTGTACTCAGACACTGCCCTTAAGCTTCCTCACCAGAGCTTCACAAAACAAATATCCACACGAGTCGCGCTAACCAGACACCTGCCTCTGATGAGGGTGAGACGGTCTCCTTCATCCCTGCCACATATCGAAAATTGGTCCACATGAAGATTATTAATTTTCTGTCCTATACTCCAGTCTCACTTGACGCTCTGATGTGAAAACACCGTCACCAACATCTCGTCCTTGTGCCACTCTCTCCTCATTTAATTCCACCACCTTTAATATCATCCATCCTTTACTCTGTGGGCCCTTCTTTCAATCTTCATTCCTGAGGTGTTGTTGTATGTGTGACACCATCAGGCACGTGCACCGGGGCCGTTAGCACGGTTGTCGTTAACAAAAATAAAGTCAACACCCCAAAAACAGCTGGTTTAAAAAAAGAAAGGGGGTTTTGTAAAATTTTGTAAGATGCAGGAAAATCAAACTGATATCTGTCGTGGAATAGCTTAGCGAATCGTATGAGTGCGTCTGCTAATGCACACCAGTGTTAATGCACTTGTGTGGCTGGTAAACGGTGGAAAGGCCCCTCACATCACAAGCTTTAGATTGTTTTCGATCTGTGCCACAGTAATTATGATGTAAGTGGAACAACAGCGTGAGGTGTGTGTGTGGTAATTAACCCCAGGCAGCTGAAAAATGAGTCTAATGAGGAGAGCGGGATGTTGAATTTGTCCAATCAATCCTTTTCCTCTCTCCTCTCTTTCTTTCTGGAGCTTTTAAATGTATCGCTGACCTTGTAATGGTTAACTGCGACACACATTTGAACCCATTTAGCTCATCATTGTCTTCTCATTTATATTTCTTTCTGCATTTTGTCACAGTAGAAAAAAAATCTACTAGTGTTTTAGGGTGTTTTGTGTGAGATTTTTAGGTATGATTTATGAAAATGGAAATGAGAGACAACTCTAACAATGATGACATGAAAGTGGTCCGGTTATTAGCGTAAATCAGTGGGATCGTCATTTGGACAAATGTGATAATTACAATTACAGTTAATTACAGAAAATGGTTGGTTTAGATCAACCAATCAGAGGGGTAGTAACTTTGAAAGAGGAAAAAGAGCAACAAAGAAAATCTAATTATTTTTCTTAATAATCATTTGTCCTGAACTGTACAACATGTAAATCGATGCGACTGTCCGATTCTTAAATTTGCGATAGTACCTGAATGCACCTCCTGTGGCAGCTGCTACTTCAACTTTGAATGCGATCTTATTGTGTAGCTCTCATGAAGCTGCTCTGCTCCTTTGACGAGAACTAAATGAAAAGAGCAGCCCACATTCACACACGAGAGGTTTTGATTCTTTTGTTCCGTTCTTATCTGTCAACAGTTTGTGAAAAGTGTATTATTCAGTGAGAAAATACAGTGCTGAAAATAACTAATACTTTTCCTTATGTTAAACAAAGGTAATAATTATTGAATAGTAAATAAAGGTAAGAAAATACATTTTAAAAGTTGATGTTTCTTTAGATGTTTTGTAGCAGTTTCTGTGGGTGTAGAAAGTGGGAACGCTGGCCAGAGGCTAATGCTGTATGGGGGGGCCTTGGCATGGAATAGAACACTTGTCAGATTGAGTGAAAACATTG